GCTATTTAATTAAACGTCAACGTTTTGGGTCTTTTTTTTTTTTTAAATCAAATTTCTTATCATTCGTTCTAAAGAACTTTGAAATGTTAACACAGAATTCGCGTTTGACGCCAAATTCGACAACCTAATTCAGGTATCACAGTATGAGTACGAGCATTCCACAACATTTGAACCTCTAAAGGTATTCAACAATAGCCTAGCAATTCTTCCATTGAAGGAGAAAGGTATGTTATTCTTCATATGCACCATCTCAAACTATTGTTGTCTAGGTCAGAAGATTGCCATTTTTGGCCATGACCAGATACCATGCCTCTGCCAAAAAATAAGATCACGGGAAGCAATTCAGATAGCGGGTGGCTGGATGATGAGCTTCCTAGATGGGGGGTTGACAGTCAGGAAGCAAGGTGAGTAGTGAGAGGCATAAGATCTTGTTGTCATAGAAAAAAGGGTAGAAAGATGGGGTTTTTCAATATTATCAGGATCATTCAATGTAAAGGAAAGGCCAATATCCCACAACTAAAATCCAGACTGATAAGAAGCAAAAGCCTCCATCCACACTCATGACACATGTAATACAATACTCACAATTGTAACACCCCGTATATATCCGATAATGTTATCATATCATCGTATTAAGCTGCGCTTAATTAAAATTGCGGAATACCTTTTTCTTTTCAATTATGACGTCATTATCATTACCAACTTGCTTAATTAATCAATCAAATAAAATCATGCCTATATGTAAATTGCAAAAGACATCTAACTGAAATACCTCATTAATTAAGATAACAAAAGTACGAGTCTTTAGTCACGGAACCACAAAATGTAGACCGAACCATCTAACAGTTTATACAACTCAACTCAAAAGTACTAACCACAAAGTGGCATGGACAAACCCCATGCTCACCCAAATAAGGCAACAAAGCCCAACATCAGTCTCAACATCAGCAACATAAGCATATAAGTGCAGAAAACATAAACAACATCCAATCCAGTCATGCCAGCATAATATGAACAGCACTAAACATCAACTAAGCTCTGGCCTCCTGCCACCAGAGGCATCAGTCCCCATACTACCTGAACCTGAAATAAGCATTCCCCAAACGTGGGGTAAGATCTCTAAACAAGAAATCTCAGTAAGGCAAGGGGTCCTCAAGAGTCTTCCACCCCAAGCTCACTTACATGTGCAATATAAGTTCAAAAGCAGTTTATCATCATCAGTTCTAAAATAGTGCAATGCAGTAGATAATCATGTCATGTGTGTCAATTCTATTCTACTGGCCAGTGAAATATAGGATTTATATACGTCTAATACCCACAAATAGTGCAAGATGCTACTTGCATCCACCCCGGATCACCGTCTTGTATGACGCCATATACTCAGGCTTACCGTCAAGATGGAACAACACATGCATATTAAAAGCCATTACACATAAAACTCAACAGCATTTCAAATATTCAAAGCATGTAACATAGCATGCATATAACCATACCCCCAAGGGACATGGTGGAACCACAACATGACTAAACCGAGGACACGAAAGCTTACCTCTTAAGCAATCAATCCAAGTCAAGTCCACACCAGTTCAATGTCCAAACACAGCAGATCACAATCTGATTTAGGACCAGCAAGCATATCAATATTCATAGCTCAATAGCATAAACATAAAGACTATGTTTTCCTTTTACGTTTTACGTCTTAAGGCTTCTCTCAAAGCCATAAACCCTTAATCCCTTGATTCTGACTTAGTTAAGTATTCACAGAAGTTCAACTCCATCAAAATAGGGTCCACAAACCCATAGCCCAGTTCTGTATGAACAGTACCTTACTGTTCTTCGAAATCCCAGAATATCCGGATATATGTCGGAGGCATATCTGGATATCTCACTGGCAATATCCGGATATCAATATCCAGATATCCAGATCCCCATATCCGGATATCCATATCCGGATATCCATATCCGGATATCCATATTAGGATATCAATATCCGGATATTTATCGACCAAATATCCTGATATTTCGCGACAGAATGCAGTTTCTGCATTTCACGAAGATATCCACCAAAGGTCCAACTTTTACCAAATAAAAGTGTTCAAGACTCCGTTTTTAGGTCTATACAGGTTCATACACATGCTAGTTACTTGCTTAAACCATTTACATGCAAAGACACTCACCAAAGCTTCAAACTCAGAAATGGAAGGCTCTTGGAGCTCACTTGACACTCCCAAGGTTCAGACTTCCACTGCACACGAAAATGCTACCAAAGCTTGCCCCTTCCCTCACAAAGGAAGCTTCTTGGAGCCTCCACACACAAGACAAAGGCCCCAACCTCACAACTCAGAAGACTCAGCACCTTAACCTCACAAGGAAGCTCACTCAACTCAGAAAAGAAAGCTTAACATTGACTCCACCACACTCAACCAAGGTGTTTAGATGAAGAAATCATGAAGAAAGGTGATATCTTTGGAGGTTTCTAAGTAAAAATGAAAATGACCAAGATAGGGGAAGGTGGCAGCAGCCAACTCACGCATACAAGGGTGGAGGATCAGCCTAGGGTTGTGTGCAACCCTCTATACATAGCCACTTAAGCAATAATCACACAGTATTAACTTTAATTGCTACGCTTAGCATTTTAATCCCAAACTCAGGATTCTTAACCTACTCAATTTTACAAGAATTATATTTTTCCTATATTTTTCGGAGCACCTTTCCGGTATGCGCTTTTCATAGCCAGTACCAGTTTCTGGCATCAGTCCTCATTATTTTAACTTGAAACTCGTTTTACAAGTCCTACATGTTATTCTAGTAATTATCATGTACTTATTATAATTTTTTGGGATACTTTTTCGGTACGCATTTATACCGACTAGCAGAACCAGTATCTGCACTTTTCGTTAGAAAAGCGACTTTCAGCATTATTACTCACTTACTATAATTATTAAAGCTTCATAATAATTATTAGGGTCAATTATGGAATTATCTCATTAAACTTATAATTAACTGATTAATTTCCTTAATTAACGGTGCGGGTTCTTACAACAATCATGTGATCATCCCATCAAGTTGGAAAGAATGGCCCATTCACATCAGGGGGTAAACGAAGTAACAAACCAGGTTCTAACCCCCTTGGAGCAGAGGAAACTCCATTTCTAAAAGCCAGAATGACAAGAGAAGATACCCCCCACTATAAATGGGAGGTGTTTCATTTCTCACACCTAGCCAACAGGGGACTCAGGCTCAAAAGGAAGCGCAAAAAGAAACAGCCATATGAGAGACGAAGACGACTATCGTTTATGAATAAGGAAGGACAAATAGTTCAGGAAGACGAAACACAAAAGGCAGGCGAACAATAAGAAATTTGATTTAAAAAAAAAGGACCAAAATGTCGTCGTTTAATTGAACAACAGAGATCTTTATCTGAAGTTACTACTGTAGATACTTTAATCCCTTTATATTTTCATAATCACGTTGTGAAAAGAAGGATGGGCTTTAACAAAGTTTTGGAAGAAAAGAAACATAGCAAGGTGGCGATGTGATATTAAAACAAAGGGATTTCGAATTGTTATGCAACAAAAATCAATTTTATTTTCCTGCAGACACAACTTCAGTGGGTCCCATTGCTTTTAAAAAAAATCAAAAAACAAAACAATTGAAACATGGTTATCGATCTTTCTGTAACATGACAACAATAATTTCATATAACATAATAAGTATAAATCCCTAAAACAAATGCTAAAAATACTCATCAACAAATATTAATAATTCATTTGATTTAAGAACAAATATAGAACAACATAATATAAAAAAATACAACTTATTTAATTATTTAAATAATATAAGTATTAGATAAAAAGTAGCTCAAATGTAGTACGATTTTTTTTATTTTTTTATCACTTACTAAATTTTTTATAAAATCTTATCTACAAGATAAAAATAGATAAAGACTAATAATCAGTATTTTCAAAACAAAAATGGCTGAAACTCAAATTCGAAAAAAAAAAATTGTTAAAAGGTTGTTGTAACCAATGTTTAAAACTCCGCCCCACCCCCGAGTTAACCCTGATCTCTCTCCTCTGAGGGTTGAGATCACAAGTTGGACCCTATATGTATATCGACCCCTCTGACTCTCAAAATTCGGCCGGGTTTCAGTGACTCCCGAGTCAGAGGGGTCAAAGCGGGTTACTGCATGTTTTTTTTTTTAATTTTTTTTTCCATGAAACAACATTGTTTTATTAAAAAATAAAATAAAAATATTTGCAAACCTAAATCTAATCGTTATCTTCTCTCCTAGCGACCTAGACGTTTTCATTCTTCAACTCGCTACCGTGAATCTCCTAGAAAAGGTAAGAATTTTACCTATTCAAATGAAATTCTTACGGTCGTCGATGGAAAACAAAAACTCATTCTTACTTCCTTTAAATTATTCTTTGTCAGAGACCTTCTCAAAAGAGGCAGAATCGGGTCAGTCTCATTATTGCTTCTTTTAAATTTTCCTTTGTCAGAGACCTTATCAAAAGAGGCAGAACCGGGTCAGCATAGTGACCCCATTAGAATCTGAGTTTTATGCTTTGGTATCTTGATACTTTAATTAAGTTGTGTAATATTGAATTGTGATTGTAATTGATGAATTATGTTAAGTATATTTTAAATCTTTGATGATTGATGGTTTGTTTTTTAATATTTTCATATAAGATATATATATTTATATTTTTTTAATATATAAAATCGGATCAGCATAGTGACCCTATAACACCCCGATTGAACCCCTGACTCCTGACCTCGGTCGGGACAAGTTTTTAAAAACTGGTTGTAACGGTGAATATATTTGAAAATATTTTGACGAAGTAAGAAAAAATATGTTGTACGGGAACATGACGATGATTAAGTAGTGGAGTGTGGAGCCCAATTTGAAAATGCCCAAAAAAAAGAAGATCGGGTTGTTCCATCATAAGCGGGTACCCGATTAAGTGATCCATAAAAACGGTTACGCACTCGTCCTTCCTAAACCCTGAAAACGGCATGGTGATCGCTGGTGCGTTCTCTTCAAGCTTTATTCTAGCACCTCCGTCCACCACCGTCTACTCCGTTTCGAAAAGTGGTCGACCTTGGTGCGCATATCTACGCAGGATGAAGCCTCGAATGGAGGCCCAGGCCCAAGCGAAGCCCAAAGAGGCTAAACTGTGGGGTGGAAGGTTCGAGGAAGGCGTGACCGATGCGGTTGAGAGGTTCACGGAATCGATCTCTTACGATAAGCAACTATACAAACAGGACATTATGGGAAGCAGAGCTCATGCTTCAATGCTTGCTCAACAGGTTCTTCTATTAATCTCAAATGCACTCACTCACTTTACCGTTTGAGTGGTTACTGTTACTTTACTGACATAGTGGTTGTTGTTGTAGGGATTGATGAGTGTAGCTGATAGGGATTCTATTCTTAAAGGTCTTGATGAGATAGAGAAGCGTATTGAGAATGGTGAGTTCAATTGGAGAACTGATAGAGAGGATGTGCACATGAACATTGAAGCCGCACTCACTGATATGATTGGTGAACCTGCCAAGAAGCTACACACTGCTCGGAGTAGAAATGATCAAGTGTTGACTGATTTACGCCTCTGGTGTCGTGATGCCATTGATAGGATCCTCAGAGGCATCAAACACCTGCAGGTTACGCTGGTTGAGTTGGCTTTGAAGAATGAGGGTCTCATTGTTCCTGGTTATACTCATTTACAGCGTGCGCAACCTGTTCTACTGCAACATCTTCTGCTGGCATATGTTGAGGAGGTGTGTGCTGAAATTTTTTTAATTAATGGTTGATCAAATTTATGTCAATCCCACTTATATGAGATGTTCCGGAATTCCGTAACAGGGTTGGTTCTTTTGATTTTCAACTACTTATTCTTACTTTACTTACCAGCCATCATCAAGCTTTTTTAATTTATTACTAGTCTAACATAGCTTGAAAACTCATTTAACATTATTATTAATATTATTGTCAACAAGTCCATATTTTTTGATTTATTGATTCACTTATGAAGTAAGTAATCCGGATTTAGGGGATAGGTTTTGAGCTTATCTGTTTTATTGACTGAAGACATTAAGCCTTTTTGCAGATTGAGCGTGATGCTGGTCGATTGGTAGACTGTAGAGTTAGGATGAATTTCTGCCCCTTAGGGGCTTGTGCAGTGGCCGGTACAGGGCTACCCATTGATCGATTCATGACTTCAAATGCCTTAGGATTTACAGCTCCCTTGAGGAATAGGTATCTAATTTAATTTTGTATGTGTGAAGTAAGTCTATGTAATTGTTCTTGGCATGTGATTGGTGTTGAATCTTCATATGCATCTCTTTTTCCTTGCTAACTTATTATATGCTGTTGTCTTAAATAGCATAGATGCAGTTTCTGACCGAGATTTTCTACTGGAGTTTCTTTCTGCTAATGCCATCACAGCAGTGCATCTTTCTCGGCTCGGTGAAGAATGGGTATTGTGGGCTTCGGAGGAATTTGGATTTATCACACCAGGTGACTCTGTTTCAACTGGAAGTAGTATGATGCCTCAGAAAAAGAATCCGGATCCAATGGAACTTGTTCGTGGGAAATCTGCCAGAGTCATAGGAGATCTGGTTACTCTTCTCACATTGTGCAAAGGACTTCCTCATGCTTACAATCGTGATTTGCAGGTAGCTAAAGAATGAAAGAAAGAAAGTTTAACTTTTCTTGCATTGCTTGTATGTGCAGTTCTTGCATTCATTTGTTTTCTTTCTGCACTATTTTGTCTTTTGAGATTCATCTAAAAAAGTTCCTTTCTTAAATTAGGAAGACAAAGAACCAGTATTTGACAGTGTTAAAACTATTCTGGGGATGCTTGAGGTATCGGCCGAATTTGCGCTGAACATTACCTTCAATAAGGACAGAATACAAAAGGCTTTACCTGCTGGTCATCTTGATGCAACCACACTTGCTGATTATCTTGTTAAGAAGGTAAGTTCTCAGATTTGAACCCAATCTCAAATCCCAGTCCATGTCACCCGTTACCAGCTGTCCTCATTCAGCAGAAAACAAGATCAAACACTTTTTCTCCTACCCGTCCCCAAGAATCATTTGAATGAAGGAAATAAATGTTTACGAAGTTTATATCTTATCAAGTTTTGAACGCTGAATGCAATAAGCTACATTTTGAAATATTTTCCATGTTGATGTACATGCATCCGTTATCAATTGTAAGGCCTTTGGCATGGAAAAATTTAGTCTTCTCCTTTCCTTTTTAGTACGAAGAATGTAGATGTTTTGGTTTGGCAGGTATTGAGATGTGGGAGCAAATATAGACATGCTGCATTTTTCACAGGATGTAGTGAACAGACGTAAAGCCTTGCATATCATAATATTTCTGGACTCATTGCTGCTAGCTTATTATGTTCCAACTGTAACACATGTTTCTTTCTATCCTATTTAGACCTTTCTTAGTTCTACAAATTTGACGCAAATTCTTACCCTTTTTCTTTCACATTCAGGGAGTACCATTTAGGACGTCTCATGATATCGCTGGAAGATCTGTTGCTTTATGTACATTGAAGAACTGCCAATTGCTGGACTTGAGTCTGGAAGAGCTCAGAAGTATAAATCCAGTCTTTGAGGATGATGTGTATGAATATCTTGGAGTAGAAAATGCCATCGAGAAATTCAGCTCTTATGGTTCCACCGGGTCGGCATGCGTTGCCAGCCAACTTGATTATTGGACTAAAAAACTTGAAATGAAGTGAAGGTTACCCTAATTGTCATGAAGTTCTAATCATGCCATGGAAGCCATTTCTGAAGACTTGGAATAAAAGCCTACTACTGCTTACCAAAGATCCTGCAACATGTTATTTAGGCATATTTAGGTGCTCTTTCAAAAAATCATCCCCTGCTTTAACAATTAACACACTTTAACTAGAATGTTGCAACAATTAAATGTATTTAATAATTTTAAGATAAAAATATTTGTATTTTCAATCTACCGTCAATCATTGTTGTTGCCTGTCACCATTTGTGGCACTGCCGGCATTGCTGCTGCTGACCATCCACTGACACCGCTACTGCTTGTCCGTTCTATCACTATTAATAAATCTTAATTTGGAGGTCTATCTTAATTAAATTGCGATGACACGATATAAACTAAAAAGAGACATCCATCAAGTCAGCATTAAATAAACCAAAAAAAAATCTTGAGCTATAATATAGTGCTGAGCATGCATTTGATAACGGGGAATATTACTCTCATGTAACATGAGAGTAGTTCTCTCATGTACTCTTATGCTATAGAGAGAATCCAAGCGAGATTCACCATTAAAAGGAAAAAAGAAAAAGAAAAAAAAAGATGTGATTTTTGAAGTGAGATAAAATGAGATAACTATCTCATGTAAAATAAGAGTAGTATTTCCCTTTGATAATAGGAAATTGTTTATCTCATTTTCACATATATATAGGAGAGGAGAGAGAAAAATATAAATAGATTTTACCACTTAATATATGAGTGTAGGAAAATGAGTTTATCTGATATTAAACGAGAAAACAATTTCCCTTATAATATTTTCAAAAGCAATTGTGTTCGTAGTGCTGTAAAAAAAAACGACTAGAGGTTTGATAATACTTTTATTATGTGATACAAGTTTCTGTAACTTGCATATTCATTTAAAAAAACTAGTTTGGAGATTTTTTTAATAAATATGTAAATAATAAATATTAATATATTATAGACTTAATAAATGTATTTTTAATTTGAAGCAATCTTTTTTACTGGATAGGAGAAAAAGGAGGATAATAATAAGAGGAAGAAGATTGCAAAAGGGCAAAGAAAAAAAATTAAAGGAAAGATCGAGAGAATCAGAGGTCGAGGGAAATTAGGGAGAGACTTTTTTTAATTTCTTCTGGTTCCTTATTTAATTCCACAAAACACTTACTTTAATAATTTAACAAGTAAAATACATGGCTTCAAACCAATAAATTTAAATTAATGACATTCAAATATTATAGAAAATGCATTAATGGAGAGATTAGGTTAATGGAATTTTGCTTTTAAATTTAAACGGTTTATGGACTTAACCAATCCGACAGGATAACGAGTTTAGAAAAGTTACTTTTACATAATTTATATTTTGATAATCACGTTCTGAAAAGATGGATGAATTTTAACAAAGTTTTGGAAGAAAAGAGAGGAGAAGTGTGTGTTCTTTTAAAGAATATAAATTTAGATTTTTTTTAAGAAAGAGATAGGCATAAAGAGGTGAAATCTATATTTTTATTTTTGTTCTATAAGATCCACATCTCTTTATGTTTATCTTTTAAAAGAACTTAAGTTTGTGACTTTTAAAATGACAGAAAAATAACAAGATGGAAAAAAAATGCCAAAATAATTTGGCAATGTGTTATTTAAAAAATACCAAAATAAAAGCTAAAAATACTCATCAACAAAGATTAATACTTCATTTGATTTATGAAAAGATAAGGAACAACATAAAATAAAAAATACAACTTATTTAATTATTTAAATAATATAAGTATTAGATAAAAAGTAGCTCAATTTATTTTTTTTTAATAATTTACTAAACAATTTATAAAATCTTATCTACGACATAAAAATAGAAAAAGACTAATAACCCTATTTTCAAAAAAAAAAAATGGTGAAATTTAAATTCGAAAATGCTGGAACTGAACGATAGAATGGTGGGACCAACTTAAAAATGCCCAATTAACAAAACCCTAGTCCCAAGCGGTGGTCCCTCTAAAACCCTGAAATCGCTGCAAAACCCATAAATAGACAATGACGCGGGATTTTGAATGTGTTTTTGTTTTTTGTTTTTAAAAACTGTTTTGAGAATGAAGTTTGAAAACTGATTTTGAGAGTAAAAAATCAATAAAACTTGTTTGAATATGATTAGTTTAAAAGTTATAAAGAAGATGTAGTTATTTACAAAAATGTCATTAATGAATCTTCATATTTACAAGATTGTCACCGCAAAATAATTTAAAATAAAATAAAAAATCAATTTAATTACGAAAATGCCATTAATGAATCTCCTTATTTACATAAATGCCACCGCACAAAACAAAAAACCAGGAAACAACTTTGGAAAACATGCTGAAGTTGTTTTGCTTTTTCTGTTTCTAAAACAAAAACACTTACACGATTTTTAAAACAAGATGCATGAAAACAGTCTTTTCAAACAAGATTATTTGTTTTATTATTTTTCAAATTTAAAAACTGTTCTTGAAAACACAAATCAATCAGAGCCGCGATTTTCAAGCTTTGTTTTAGCACCTATATTCTCCTCCATGTCGATTAGTCGTTTGCCTTCGTAACGAAGCTTAGAAAGAAGGCTTAGGTCTGATGCCGAAAACACATAGAAAAATGATTAAATAGAATGTTAGAATTTTCACAAAAGAGTAATCCTTCTATTCTCAAATAACAAAATTCAATTTCTAAGGGTCATAAGCGCCTTTTATAGACTAATTACAAATTGATCCAAAATTCAAAAATTCAAAATCTTAAAAATAAAAAAATTCCTAACATAAATATAACAATAACTAACTTTCAAAAATAAATAAATATTTACAATTAAATCATTCAAAACACGTCCCAAATCTTAGATCTTAAATCATGCCAGATGTGTTGTTTTCCTTTTCTTGCCAAACAAATCACAATCACATATGCTGCTTTATTGAGACTTGGATTCGATTGTAATTTGTTATATTTCAAATTAATGCTTTTTTCAACAATTGAGCCATATTTATTGGGCCACAAACTCTAGTTGACCACGAGCTTCTTTAATCAATGGTTGAGCCATGTTTAATGAGCCAACTGTAAGTGCATCATTCTCCCTTGCCATGAAAAGATTCGTCCTCGAATATTCTTTATCTTCACTTATCTCAATCACTTTAGGTAGAAGCTGACATGACAATTCTTCCTAGATTAAATCTCCATCGTCGAATTTCACATTAGATTTATCAGAAACTAAATAATCATCATAAATCGAATAATTATCGTAAATTGGATTATGATCTGTTGTAAATTTAATCGCAGAGATACAAAATTAACAGAAGAAAAAGACAGGAGGCACAAGGATTTTTTCTTGTTCAGAAACTTGTTATTAGCAAGTTTCCTACATCAAGGACAAAGGGCTAAAATCCCCTTTATCAGCTTGCATTAAATCAGAACCCGAATACAATGTGCAAGAGAACATAAAACATCTACAACTCAGAATCAAAAAGCAACACTCTAAAAACAGCACCTAAGAAATCTAAACATGCATCTGATTTCAAGAACGAAAAAGAAACACACACTGGCATGCAATATCACACAAAGTGTCAGATACTCATTCACTAGTTGAACCAGTAAGCTTCTTCAATATTGAATCAAAGCCACCAGATCCCAAGCAAACAACCCAGCCACTCTCGATCTTGAGCTTCAACAGATCCTGCAAAAGAAACCAAGAAAACATAGGTGCACACAAGGAGGAAGAGAAGCACACAGTTAATCACAAGATTAAGCAACAGAGGGAATGATTTCTTGATGAAATCAGCAAGCCCTATGATATGGTTTCAGAGTGCTTTTGATCGAGAGAGAAAAAGGAGAGAGAGAAAAACTAATTGGGTAAAATATGAGTTGTTAAGGAAAATAGAAAATCAATTATGTATATATCAAATATACAAAACTGCTGCGTTTAATAACAAATGTAAAACGACATGGCAAAAAGAGCAAAACGCAAATGAAGTAAAACTACCCAATAACCCCTGTTTTAGGAATACCAATGAAGCCCACATGATCACAGATTGGATTACCATCATAGATCGAATAATCATCATAAACTGAATTATGATCATAGACTTCAAAGTCAGGAATGCTGATTTGCATCTCGATATCTTGAAAAGTGGACTGATTTCCAGGTCGTACTTCCTAATTTTGTCCCTGGTTTAGAATCCCCAAGAGATTGATGTCCTCCTCTTCGTCATCAGATGTGTTCTCTAATTACATTCCTTCTTTGGATTGAATGCCCAACTTTGTCCATGCAAGTCGCACAAGAGCTCGCTTCAAAATTTGGATTTTCATGCATACCCCACAAGTCGTCGCTCCAAATCTTGAATTCTCTTTCTTTGCCCCCGCACAAGTAGTCTCTCCAAAACTTGAATTTTCTTGTCCAACGCTTGCTCAAGTTGTTGCTTCAAATCTCGGATCCGCCTTCCGAGCTCGTCATTCTCTATGTCACGTAGGTCTATCTGACGCGGTTGTTTCCCTCCTTTAGGAACGAATCCACGTCCTTATCTTCACCACTCCGCCATCGATGACCTCTAAGATTCTGATCAGTCATTGGTTGAAGGCAACCTAGTCCTCTGATACCAAATAATGCCGAAGTAGTAACCAATTGAGTAAATAGAAAGAACGAAACAAGAGTTGCGAGAAAATATTTTTCTCTTTTCTTAATTTTATTTAACCAAAAATAAAATGATAACAATAGGGTTCTCCAAGCCTTAAATAGGCAAAATAAAATAACAAAAAAAGTAAATAAATATAATCATGCGCAATCAAAGGAGATAACGCACAATCACGTACACTCAAACATAATCTAAAAATAAAAAAAAGGAAATAATTAACAATTGTTGAAAATCCTAAACTATGGAATAAATTATGGGATTTACTAATCTACATCAACATAAGAGAAGGTATCTCCTACTCCCTTACAATTTTGTGATGGGACCCATATAATTATAAATAAAAAAATAAAAATAAAAAAGCTAAAAATTTATGTCTCTGTAGGAAAGTAAACTACTCTCCTACGGCTGGAGAGTAATTTTTCCCATAAATTATAGAAAAGCTCAATCCAAGTCAGTCACGCATCAAGGTCCTTGCCCAAGCGATGCCCAGTGATGCAAAACTATGGATGGGAAGATTCGCGGAAGGCATGATAGATGCTGAGAGGTTGAATGAGTCAATCTCTTATCATAAGCAGCTATACAAGCATGATATAATGGGAAGACATGCTTCAAA